TCGGAGTGGGTGGGTGAAAAACACATCACTCAAACTTTCAACCATAAATTCTCACAGGAAATTTCAAAAATACAAATTTTCGGGAAATTTTTAAAATTTTTTAAACACAAAAAATTAAAATAATTCGAAAAAAAAACTGGCATAAAGTTTTCGAAAGACCTGGCATAGCTATGCATATAGCATGCTTTCGCATGCCAATAACATCACTAGCATGGGATTCTCACACCGATTACTAGAGAAGTCTTAGTGCTCCTGGTATATAATGGTACGCATCTGGTGGATTGGCGTGAACATGCGATTTTCGAACAAATCTTTTCGACAAATATTCCGAGCCAAAGCGGAGCTGCATGAGCAGTAGTTTGCTTTGAAAAATTGTCACAAAATCGCTATTTCGGGAAATTCTTCTTTAACCTCATTTTCTGTATTCAGGACTCCAAAAAAAAAAAAAAAAAATAAAAAATTTTGCAGAAAAATTTCACAAATTGCACGGTTGCAGAAAATTTCGCAACATAGGCCAAAAAAAAGCAAATTCACAACTTCGGCACCATAATTTATTTGTTCATTAAGCCAATTTGCTCATCAAAAAAGTCTCATAAGCTAAAAAAAAAGTAAAAACAAGAAAAGCTGCCTCATAAATTCTCTACATCAGATCCTGTTCCATTCACGTCATATTCCGTATGCAAATTAACTCCCCAGCTACTTTCAATCATCTGCAGACGCAAATAATTTAATGTTTAACGTATTTTCGCTTTTTATTTTACATTGTCTTAATTTTAAATATTTTAAATAATCCTAAATTTTGTTAAATTATTTTAAACATACCACATCACAACAGCCGTCATACGGATGAGGTCCAGTTGTGGTAATGGAAAGAAATGTATACAACTTGATGAATTTCTAATTATAATTCTACTTTTTTTTTTTACATAGTTCAATTCTCAAAACAGATTCCTATTCATAAGCTTGTTTTAACAATTTTTTCAAAATTTTCCTATAACAAAATTTTGCAAAAAAAAAAACCATGCGTTTCTTTCATAACATTTCTCTTCCTGTGTTTTTCTAATGTAAACTTAGTCCCAATAAAGAGGTTATAGCTCGATACACGGTATTAAATTTCTAAGCTATTCAATGACCTGTCTCCAATATATTGTTTCTAGCTTGTTTGGCATTCTTAGCACACACACACACACACACACACACGCACGCACACACACACGCACACACACAAACGTACACACACACACACACATACACACACATACAACACACACACATACACACACATACACGCACACGTACACACACATACATACACACACATACACATACACATACACACACACACACAAACACACACACACCTAGTAGTGTTTTGAAACGGCTAAAAAAGCAATGTTAAATGCTTTTGTGGTTTGTGAATTCATCTCTCAGCAGCGACCTACAATCTTTCGACGATTGTTCAGGCCATTCCGTGACGGCATCCGTTCAACAATTATGATTCTTAACTGTCTTTTGGTTACTGATTTGCTGTTCGAAAAAAAAACCGTTGAGGTGAAGATGAAATGAATGTTGAGATCGCCAACAGGCTAATAATAATCAGATCATGCCAGGATTTAAAGCCGGACTGTGGAATCGGACTTGAAGCCGAACTATGAAATACGGCTAATCTAAAGATCAAGAATCAAAGTAAGCTAGTCTAAGCCCTGCAGTTGAAAATACGCTGAAAATCCTCCTTATCCTCCTGCTGATATTCTCGCCATAAATGCTAGAAAACGTATTAAAAAATCATGAGAACATTGAAAAATCGATTAGTTCTCGGGATGATGATAACGGGAAAATAAGAATAAACGAAGCAGCTTTCAACATGCGTGTGATATTTTTGCCTGTGGCGTAGCTAATAACATGATGGATCATTTCCATAACTAAATACGACAAAAGAGCATTAATTCAGGAAGTGTGGGAAGGCAGGGGGTGGGGGCAGGCGGAAGGGGTAGGGAGACTGCATACAGTCCCCTTCAGTTCCAGGATCAGGAAACGTAAACAGACTCCTGGAATACGGAAGCCGGGAGCAACAGCAGGGGGGGAAGAGGGGAGGAGGATGGGGAGGGAATGGAGTAAACAGTGCCTCAAATTCCAGAAAGAGGAGGGCCTTTGCCCTCCTTCCCCCCACTTGGGCTCCTCTCATTCCTGTTCCCCGTAGCAGTGGTTTTCTGTAGATTTTAATAAAATGATGAATAGCCGTCACATTCATTCCCCGACTGCTACTCCCGCCCGCCCTCGCCTTCCCCCTCACCTCCCTCCGTCCCTCAACATCCTTGCCTGCTGCTGCTGCTGCCCCCATTTCTGAATGTGCAAGACCTGTATGTTTGGAAACTTTTTGTTCATGTGCAACAGTATTGAAATTTGAATGCCATTACTCGCCTCCTTTCCCCATCCCTTGTCCTCTACTGCCCCCTCCCTCCCCCTCTGCGCCCTCATTCGCCTCAATCCAGACGGAGTGCACCGTTTCACGGTCATTCTTTGTCCGATCAATTCGTCCACTCCATTCCTTTGCACCTTACTCACTTCCCTAATACGTTATAAAGTACAATCATGCCTCCAGCACATTTAATTTTTGCTCTAATATAGATCTTTAGACAATCCAATTTAAGATTTTCCTCTTTACAATCTCAAATAAATAGCAACGCGCACCAGTCTAGCCGGTGCGATCATGCGTTTTGTGCAATTCAGCCCATCG